CTAGGCCTTCCTGGCCAGGCCTCTGTGGGGGCGGGGCTGCTCCTCACCCCCTCCCCCACCGGCCAGAGCTGCCGTGTTCAGGGGGCTCCGCACAGGTCGCCAGTGACTCCTCGGGGCGAGTCCTCGGGGTAATTGCCGGGGAGAAACGATCGAGTTTTCAAAGCCCGTCCGTTCCTTACAACCCACTTGCAGCTCAGGAATGACCACCCACTTCACGGAAGAGGGAACCATCGCCGGCATTTCTCGCTCAAGGTCACTGGAAGGCTGCACAGACCAGGGCTCCGCGCCTGAGCTGTTTCTGTTCCGAGACCCGGAAAAGACCTCGGTGCTCCCGCCTGCAGCCCTGCCTGGGGCCGGGGCCTGAGGAGCGAGCGGCTGTGCCCTGGGTCCCGGCCGGCCGGGCTGATGCGCAGGAAGGAGGGTAAGGCCTGGGGCCCCCCTGCCGCCCCCCTGCCGCCTCCGACGGGAGGATTTGTACTGATTCTGGAGCAGCAGCAGGCCCGGGCGCCTCAGGACGATCTCATTTTCAGCTGGAACGGCATCCCCGTGTCTCTCCAGCCCGAGGCGGGCCGCCATTCGCGGGCTGGGAATTAACGCCACGCGGGCACCACAGCCTCTCAGAGATCGCAGAAAAGCAATTTCAGAAAAGAATCCCTGTTTCTCGCTTGGTGGCTTTCTGTGTGGGAGAAAGGGACAATGATGAGGGACATCAGAGCTATTCTGGGGCCCTGGTGGGGCGGGAGGAGCGGGCTCGGCTCCCTGGGGACGCCGGCCCCCCCAACTCTCCATCCTGGAGACGGGGGTCTGGCCCCCAGGAGCTGCTCCAGACCCGCGTGACCATGGCCCTGGTGTGCGTGAGCGTCCTCGGGGCCCAGGAACCCCACGGAGCCGCCACCACAACCCTCTCATCACAGGCAGGGAGCTCGGACGGGAGAGGGGAGGGGACTTGCCCAGATTCACCGGCCACACAGGCAGGGCCGGGCTGGACCCTCCTCTCCCGAACCCCTTCGACCAGAGTTCGGGGAGCAAAGGTGCCTGCAGTGGGTGGGATGGTGGCCCCAGAAGATATGTCACATCGAACCCTGGAGCCTATGATGGTGACCTTGTTTGGGAAAAGGGCCTTTGAAGATGTGATCAGGTTACAGGTCTCGGGGTGAGGTCACCCTCGATTCGCCGGCTGGGCCGGAACGCCCATGACAAGGGTGCAGCAGGGACCGGCCCGGGCGATGAAGGACAAGGTTGAAGCACCATCTCAACGCTCAGAAGTCTCCACTTTCCCCTCCACTCTCACCTGCTCGGCCCCTCAGGTGTCCCCGGTTACCTGGCATCCTGCACCCAACGCCTCCCTCCCTGGCACACGTGGTCCCCCCGCCGGGAAACAGGCGCTGCAGGCTCACCTCCCAGGGCAGCGGCCTGAGCCTCCCTGGGGAGCTCCGTGCCCTCCTCCGGCCCCCGCCTGTGCAGACCCCGCAGACAGGGACACACTAACCTCGCTCTCCTGGTGCCGCCTCCCGTCCAGGCGCCTCGGCCCCGCCTCCACGCCAACAACAAAGGGAGACAGGTGTGCGCCCAAGCAGCTGCTCTTGAACCTCAACGACCTGCCAGATGCTGCTGAGACCTGGGTCTGCACCCCTGCCGCCCAGACCTGCGGGTGCTCCCTCCTCACGCCTCCCGGAAACCAGGGCAGGTGAGCAGGTGGCCGAGGCGCCTCTGTCTGGAGGCAGGTGACGGGCTCTGGGACGGCAATGGGGTCACATGCTGCGTGAGCCCCCAGCCCCCGTCTCTCAGGCTCCTGTTGGGGCCACAGCGCCAGGAGCCAGGGTCACAAAGAGACGGCGGGCTTAGCAAGCCCTGTGGACGCAAACCCAAGGGGAGAAGCCTCATCTAGGGTTGGGATGTGAAGGGCAGGGAGGAAAGAGGCAGGGACGGGGGATGGAGGGATGGAGGGATGGAGGGTGGGGAGATGGGGGGGGGGG